AAGGACAAAGAAAAAGGATGCTTGCAGAAATGTAAGAACTATCCTTAATGTTGCCTAAATTAGTTAGTTCACTTCGCTATACATGATTTCTGTGGCAAATAAAAGGGCAAAGGATCTAACTGACAGGTTTAGAAAGGAAAGAAAAAAAAAAAAAAAAATCAAAGCTTTCTGTATTCACATCTTGGATCATCAATGAAGACCACACCAAATTAATAGTCAACCTGTAAGAACCTTTCGAACGCTGTTCCCTTCAGCGTCTTGTTAACGTCGTCCCAGTTCTTGACATGCTGCCACAACGCTCCCCGGTGGATCTTAATTTGGCGACTAGTCAGCTGCCTCGGAGGCAGTCTCAGAAATTTTAGTACATCTACCATTTTCTGCACGACAAGGCGGGAAACTGAGCAAAAACCGAGAAGAATTTGAAGTCTTTAGAACAATATGGCGTGTATTGTGGGAGCACTTACAGTTTGGTTTCTAACTAAATCTTCGTAGTACAGAACGAGATGGCGTGTGTTGTTGAAGTGCTGCAGTGCTTCCCCGGCTGCAAGATCCATTCGCTTTAAATCCGTCACCAGCAATGTTGTATTGATCGCGGGCTTGTATTTAGCGAGAGTGCCAGCCTAAAAAACGCCAATAAAGTGATCGAGCTATAGAGACAGTATAAGACTATGAATACACATTTTGCACAACACACAGAACGGGCAGACAGACCTCTTCAGCTGAGTGTACGTGAGACTTGTGTGTCCCGTTCAAGAGTTTAGCATATCGGTCATATGAATTTGCTAGAACCGAAACCATTCGGCGGAGTAGGTTTCTTCGGAAGAGAAATATCACCGAAACGCCTTTCTCATTGAAGTATTCCGCGATTTCTCCGTGATACTCCATCAGCCCCTGCATCGAGCATGAGAACATAGTTACTAGACCTAAATTTCGTTCCCCAAAACTATAAACTCGTGTCCGGACTCTGATAACACTTGTTAGGATCAGGCACTTATCACTAAGTCAAAAGCTATAGTTCGTAGCAAATACGCAACTTTATTTCCTTATACAGTTATACGTACCACCACATATTTTCAAGAGCCACACTTATAAAAGATCCTTTAAATCAGTCTTTTCTTTTTTGGAATAAAAGTATGATACTACTTGTTAAGCATATAACCATTAATGTGCAATCCAACTATTAGTTTAGACTTTTAGTTGAGATGGAACACATGTTTCAATTTGGTATCAGAGCCAGACCTGCAATCCAAACTATTAGTTTAGGCTTTTAGTTGAGATGGAACACATGTTTCAATTTGGTATCAGAGCCAGACCTGCAATCCAACTATTAGCTTAAGCTTTTAGTTGAGATGGAACACATGCTTCAATTCTACTAAGCTGTTACCTGGTTAAGCATCCATTTGAAGCCAACCGCAGCTGAACAGTGATTCTTCGAGGCACTAGTAAACAAATCCATATTGTAAACTCTATCTAGTGTCTCCACGATAGACGAAATATTATCTCGCCTCTCCTTAACCGAGAATATTTCGCCATTTGAGCTTACGCTCAAATGACTATTCAACAGTGTCTCGAACCATCCACTCCCGGACCTTTGCATTGACAGAATTGCAAAGAACCGAACAGGGCTGCAAGCGCATTCGGCCCTAACAATAACAACAAAAGATATAAACTTCGCATTGATAGGCTGCAGAAACTTTTTCACCAACAAGATACCTACCTGCTAAAAGTTTTCGGCTTTGGATAATGCAAATAAGGAATCTGGGATCGGTCTGTTTCGAGCTCATGACAAGGCCTCTCAATCACTTCAAGGTTCAAGATTTTGTTTTCTTTGTCAGTGTTAGACTGTTTTAGACATTCTGTGCAGATATAAACACCACAGACCATAGCAACTACCACAACTATCATCCTTAATAGAGCTGGAGATTTCTTTGGAGGTCTTATGATAAGAGTGTCCTGTCAACCATATTGAAGGAACAAGGTTGTTATAACAAAAAACCTTATCCATAGGAAAGAGCACAAGAATCTCAATTATTACTAAGCATGAATAAACAATAATTCAGAAATGTGAATGCAAAATCAACACTGTAAACTAATGAACACAATCAAAAGAAGAAAAACAAAACAAACAACAATCCCCAGTGTTTATGCTTTTCTATCTTCAACTAAATACTAAATTTCAATTTCATATCAAGATTTGCAAAAGGCATATTACAGAATTTCTTAGCTAAACCTTTTGGATACCCTTTATTAGTCACTAAAATTCACAGTAAATCTTGGTTTCTGCACAACAAAAATTACACCCAGAAACTAAACAAAATCTAAAACTCTAACCTTCAATGCCTTACAATGTCACTGCATTCTTCCAAGAAATGACTAACAGTAATCTCCAGCTTAAAAACCCACCAAAGATTAAAGCTGTAGTGAAAGAATAAAGCATAAAAAACTGACCTTTGAGAAGAAACATACTTCTTCAGCCATTACAGCTCCACCCTTCACAGCACAGAAGCGAAACTTGGTATCCGTATGTATAGCCTATATATATATACTACGCAGCGCGTATATTGTTATACTTTAGTATTTATACTCGGGGCTGATGAGCTGAGACGGCAGCCCGCAGCCCTCGTTGACGGGTTGGGTGGTGGGTCAACTGTTGCGCACGAGAGCCGAGGGCATTAATGGCGACGCAGCTGGGAAGACGAAGGCTCTCTGCTCCAAGTCTTTATTAATTTTCTTTCTTCTCTGTCAGGATTTCCGAATTTTTCATAGTCTCTTTCAGTCAAGATTTACTTTGGTTTGGTGAGTTGGGGTATATCAGTATATCACCATTTCTTATGACTATAAAATTGTTCTTTTTTCTGCAAAGATGACTATAAAAAATTGTTGACACCAGCGCATGTGGTCGTACCTAGATCGCCATTTAGGAAAGGTAGCAACTTGCAACGCATGTATACAATAAATTAAAAAAGTTGTCTGGATGTACAGCTCAACTGGTTATAGAGGTGAAAGTTAGAGAGAATGACCGATTGAGTCTCACCAGTGGCCGTGTGAGAGCAATATCTCAAAGTGAGGAGACTCCTTGAGCACAGTAAGCAAAGGTCTGGTCTCCGTGATTCATGTTCAATTGAGTTACCATGATTTACATCCCCCTGATACTCTGTCAGGCCGGGTTAGGGTTCAACCTTTTAGAAAGAAATTAAAAAAGTTTGACTAAAAAGATCCAAACCCACAATAACTACAAATTTCTCTCATTACTCAAAAACTAAAACAAAATAAAACAGCTCCAATGGAGTTAGTTTAACTGTTGATTTATAACGATAAGATTACAAGTTCAGCCCTGATCTAAGGTGTCTTCTTTGATTGAGTCGGTAAGTTATGGACCACTGAGATTGATTTATTCAATTATGATTATTTGCTGGTTATGATCGTAAGCGAGTTTCACACTTTTAAGTATAAGGTGAAAACATACTTTAACTTTCTTGACACTTTTAAGTTCTACCTAAAACAATACAATATAGGGTGAGAAGGAACTAATCATTCAATCAACACATACAAAGGGATCTTTTAGTCTTACAATTAAATTAACTGTTTGTTTATCAACGGTAACAATTTGTGTTGGATTAAAACTGAGTTTTTAAAAATGGTCTAAAAATGTTGTTTTTAGCATCAGAAAAACATTATTGAATATAATATATTTTTGTTGCAGGCGTGAGTTGTCCGTTGCATATATTTGGATTATTAAGCTTTGCTTATAATTCAAGATACCCTTCACTTGGTGGACTGTTTGCAATGAATGAAAGAATATAATAAGTAGAAATTGATGAAAATAAAGTGTGTGTGTGTATATGTAGCTTTAATTATTAGTCATCATTCCTTTCTTTTATGGGCTATGAATCCTTGGTGTAGACCCTCTACACCCATGAATGCTATTCCCACTTTATAATCTAATACATAGGATAGGTAAATCTCTCTCATCAATTTAACATATTTGTAATCCCACGTCATCAAATTTGTACACTCTTCACTATTTGTTAAACGTCCCCCTTAATCTTTCTCATTTTTTAAAATAGATCTCACTTTTATATTATAATATAAATTATAAATATAATAAAAGAAAAAAAAAATAAATTGGCAAAAAATTTAATTTTGCTGCCATTTTAATAGCTGGTAGGGAATATCCCGACCGACATAGCTTCACCACGACCGAGGAGCCTTTGTCTCTTTTTCCTTGTCTTTGCAGGTAACAGGTCGGGCTCCACGAGAAGAACCCGGTCGTAGACCGACTGGAGTTGCCCGAGCGACGGTGTCGACCACCGAGCGGTAGCCCTTTGGCGAAAGAGCTGACGAAGGACACGTGGCGGCTCTTTACATCGACAGGCAGGGCACCCGGGAGGATGACACGTGGTGGCTACGTGGAGGACATGCCGAACAGCTGGAATCCTGTCCCCGGCATAGCGGCTATAAATACCCACAGTAGCTACAGTGTAAGGGACTTTTGGACGATCGATAGGTTGTTGTTAGAGAATCCCGACCGCACTTAGTCGGTACTCAGAGCAACCAAGTAGATTGTACTTAGGGCCTTTACCGTGATCAATAGAGATTCTACTTGCTTTAATTGGTCTCGTGTTATTCTATATTGCTTACATATAATTAGCAGTATCATTTTGGCGCCGTCTGTGGGGACCCGTACAAGAAACCAACGTCTTGACGAGCACCCGATCACCATACCAACATGTATCCGTGGGCACACAACAACTTCGCCGACGACCAGGCGGATGCGGCGAGCTCCTCCGACCACTATGCTACCCAACAGCAGGGTCAGACGATGGACCTCAACCTCAACCTCTCACCACCGCATCCATCAAATGCATACCCGGCCGCCCAGCAGCCGGTAAATTACATACAGCCGGGATACCCGACACCCGGTCTGCCATACCAGCAGCCGCCGATGATGTATCCCGCCCAGTATCCGTACCCGGTCCCACCTCCACCGTATGGGTACTGGCCAGGCCAACCAATGTGCTACACTTCCCCGGTTGGTTATCCACCTTATACGCCAGCTTATACAGCTCCAGCCGCCGCCCCTCCAGTACAACCGACCGCACAAGTAGAGCCGCAGCGTCAGTCCACTTCCCGGGCTCGACGCTCGGCTCATTCGCGGTTGGGGTCGGGGGGTGCTGATGCGATGGAGGCACCAGCCCAGGCCGTTCAAACGGAGGACCCTGAAGAAGTTGCCCGAGCGGTAGCTTTCGATCGTCTCCGACCGGAGATGCGCCAGCGTTTGGGACCCCAAGACCCGGACCGCGGGCACGAAGGCGTACAAATGCAGGAAGCTAGCCACGAGGCTTCATCCGGGTATAGCGGGTCGAGATCTCACCGACGGCGACGCGCTCGGGATACAGCCCAAGCCGCTCAAGCCGCCGAGCTCAACGAAACCCGAGGATTGCTCTACAACCTCCAGGCTGAAGTTGCGCAGCTCAGGAGTGCGTATCCCACAGCACCCCCGGCCGACCGATCGACCCTACACCAGACGCCTTTCACAGCAGCGGTAATGGCTCAGCCTTACCCGCTCGACTTAAAGGTCTCAGGAGAGAAGAGTTACGACGGTCGGACAGATCCGGAGGCTCACGTGAATGATTTTTTCAGCAATATGATGCTGAAGGGCGTTTCAGACGCCGTGATGTGCAGGGCCTTCTACTCAACCCTCACTGGTCGGGCGGCAGAATGGTTCTGAACCCTGCAGCCGGGGTCAATCGACAAATTTGAGACCCTGGCGATCAAGTTTGTACGGAAGTTCATTACTTCCAAAGTGGTGAGGAAGTCCTATATGTACCTCGAAAAGGCCAAGCAGCTCGAAGGGGAAAGCTTGACCGACTTCCTCATCAAGTGGAAGGCAGCAGTCGGGGAGGTCGAGCCCATGGATGATGCGACCGCCACTCACATGCTTCACATCTCCCTCCGGGCGGGGTATCTATACCAGGATTTTATCCTTCACCCCACGACCACCTATGAGGAGGCCCTCCGAAGGGTCACTGATTACGCCAACGCAGGAGAGGCAAATGCCGTCAAGCGCTCGCAGGAGGTCGGCTCTTCGTCTCGTAAATCGGCCGGTCGAGCGGAACATCGATCAGGAGATGACAATCCCCGACCCCGCACCAGGCATGGCGAGTTTACGGCCTTGAACCGATCCGCAGTGGAGGCCATGCAATACGCCCAGTCCTGTAATCTCATCAAACTTCCCCATCCTGATCGAGACGGCCCTGACAAGAGTAAGCACTGTGCTTACCATCGATGTGCCGGGCATGACACCGAGGAGTGTACCCACTTGCGCCAATTATTGGAAGATTTGCTCAATTTGGGAAAATTGGACAAGTGTGTGGGGAAGAGAGAGGAAAACAAGAGGAACACCGATCGGAGGGATCATAGACGTTCTCATCACCGCTCTGATCGATCTGGGCAAGACAGAAGGGATGGTCGTCATGATGACCGACGGGACCCCGACCCTCCGTCCGGTAGCCGCCCGTCCGGAAAGCCTACCATCCACGTCATTTTTGGTGGGCTGGAAGATGCTTCCCGACCGCGGGCTAATTGCCCGGTCGCAATAGTGGATTCCCGGGGAACCGGGAAGAGGCAGAAGATGGAACCCATAACCTTCACCCTTGAGGACCAACCTAGCAGCAGCGACCACGGCATGGAGGCGCTCGTGGTCACGATCGACGTTAAGGGGACGGACGTCCAAAGGGTTATGGTTGACACGGGCAGCAGTGTGAACGTCCTATACTTGGACGTGTTTGAGAAGCTTGGCCTTGACAGGAAGGAGCTGACTCCGGTCGGTGTACCACTGTCGGGATTTACCGGGGCTCTTATCTACCCCGAGGGAAAAATAACGCTCCCGGTCGAGATCGGCACGCCTCCAAAGTCGATCCAAACGGAGCTGGAATTTGTTGTGGTCAACCTCCATTGCGTCCACAACATTATCTTGGGCCGACCCGCCATTATGAAGATCGGTGGGATAATTTCTATGCCCCACCTGTGCATGAAATTCCCCACCCCTAACGAGGTCGGCGTGGTCCGTGGCGATGTCCAATCCGCCCGGAAGTGTTACACCCGAGCGGTCAATAGACGTGACTCCGGTCCGTCTTCCCGGGTGAACACCATAGCCAAAGAGGAGGCTAACGAACGGAAGGAGCAGCCTGAGCCTTCCGAAGAAATTGAAGAAGTTCCACTGTCCGAGGACCGCCCGGACAGAAAGATAAAGATTGGACTAGCCCTCACCCCCGAGATCCGAGCGGAAGTTCTGGCCGTGCTCCGGGAGTATGCAGATATCTTTGCATGGGGGCCTGAAGACATGCCCGGGATCGATCGGTCGGTCATTTGTCACAAATTGGCCGTCGATCCCGCAGCTAAGCCGGTCGTGCAAAAGACACGACACCTTTCCTCCGATCGCCGCGAGTTTGTAAGAGAAGAAGTCAAAAAGATGGCGGCGATCGAGCACATCCGTCCGGTGGTCTATCCTGAGTGGGTGGCAAATATTGTTCTTGTTCTTAAGCCCCCAGCATGGAGGATGTGCATCGACTTTACGGACCTCAACAAAGCCTGTCCGCTCGACCCGTATCCTCTACCGAGCATTCATCAGATGGTCGACGAGACGGCTGGGGCCGAGTTAATGAGCTTCATGGATGCCTTTAAGGGATACCATCAGATCATGATGCACCATGAAGACGAGAGCAAGACAGCCTTCGTGACCCCGGATGGGCTGTATTGTTACCGAGTGATGCCGTTCGGCCTCCGAAACGCAGCAGCGACCTACCAAAGGATGGTCAACATGTTCTTTGCTGATCTACTGGG